AGCCTCGTGGCGCAGTGGTTAAAACGCTGTACTTCAGCTAAAACTGTGCTCACGACCTGGGGTTCAAATCCCAGGTAGCCGGCTCAAGGTTGACTCAGCCTTCCATCCTTCCGAGGTCGGTAAAATGAGTACCCAGCTTGCTGGGGGGGCAATGTGTAGCCTGTATAATTAAAAATTGTAAACCGCCCGGAGAGTGCTTGTAGCGCTATGGGGCGGTATATAAGTCCAATAAATAAATAAATAAATAAATAAATAAACTTTCCCTATCTCCCTTGCATTTGGTTTCCCTTCTCTGCTATTTGTAAAGCCTCATTAGATAGCCACTTTGCTTTCTTGCATTTCCTTTTCTTTAAGATATCTTTTGTTTCTGCTCCTGGACAATGTTATGAGCCTCCATCCATAGTTCTTCAAGGACTCTGTCCACCAAATCCAGTTCCTTAAATCTGTTCTTCACTTCCACTGTGTACTCATAAGGGATTTGGTTTAGATTGTACCTGATTAGCCCAGTGGTTTTTCCTACTTTCTCGAGTTTAAGCTTCATTTTTCCTATAAGAAGCTGATGATCAGAGCCACAATCAGCTCCAGATCTTGTTTTTGCTGACTATATAGAGCTTTTCCATCTTAGGCTGCAAAGAACATGATCAATCTGATTTCGTTATTGCCCATTTGGTGATGTCCATGTGCAGAGGCACCTCTTGCGTTGTTGGAAAAGAGTGTTTGTGATGACCAGCTTGTTCTCTTGACAAAACTCTATTAGCCTTTGCCCTGCTTTGTTTTGAACTCCAAGGCCAAACTTACCTGTTGTTCCTTTTCTCTTTTGACTCCCTACTTTAGCATTCCAGTCCCCTATAATGAGAAGAACATCTTTCTTTGGTGTCAGTTCTAGAAGCTGTTGTAAGTCTTCACAGAATTGGTCAGTTTCAGCCTCTTCAGCATCGGGGGTTGGTGCATAAACTTGGATTACTGTGATGTTGAAAGATCCGCCTTGGATTCATATTGAAATCATTCTATCATTTTTGAGATTGTATCCAGTATAGCTTTTCCCACTCTTGTTAATTATGAGGGCTACTTCATTTCTTTTATGGGATTCTGGCCCACAGTAGGAGATATGAATTCGCCCATTCCCGTCCATTTTAGTTCACTGACACCCAGGATGTCAATTTTTATTCTTGCCATCTCCTGTTTGACCACATCCAGCTTCTCAGGGTTCATAGATCTTGCATTCCAGGTTCCTATGCAGTATTTTTCTTTGCAGCATTGGACTTTCCTTTCACTTCCAGGTGTGTCCGCAGCTGAGCGTCCTTTCGGCTTTGGCCCAACCACTTCATTAGCTCTGGAGCTACTTGTACTTGTCCTCTGCTCTTTCTCAGTAGCATGTTGGACGCCTTCCAACCTGAGGGGTTCATCTTCCAGCATCATCTCTTGTGGCCTTTTGTTTCTGTGCATGGAGTTTTCTTGGCAAAGATACTGGAGTTGCTTGCCAGTTCCTGCTCCGGGTGGATCACGTTTAGTCAGAACTCCACTATGACCTGTCTGGCTTGGGTATCCCTGCACAGCATAGACCATGGCTTCTCTGAATTACTCAAGCCCCTTCACCACAACAAGGCAGCAATCCGTGAAGGGGATGTGCCATCAAATCAGAACAGGCTTGTAGCAATCCTAAGGCTTTCAAGGCAAGGCAGATATTTAGGGAATGTTATCACCAGCTCCCACTTGTGAATTTCCAAGCTATGGGATTCAAACCCAGGTTTCCTGTGTCCTAAGCTATCTTTCTATGCTTCCGTAGTTACTAAAATGCAGTTAGCATTATGTGGCTACAATTGGAGTAACTGCACAGGCTTTTCTCCTTTGTAGCACAATCCCAGGCTTCTTTACTCAAAAGTAGCTCCATTGAGGTTGGCTTGCTTGGCTCACAATAGTGAGTAAGAGTACATTCTACAATTATAAGCATGGTATTTGTAATATTGTCATCAGTATGACCCTGAAAATTCATCCCTCTTAAATGCAACATTGAAAGTAGATGGGTCTGTTCATAGAACTAACAACACAGTCTTATACATGTAGATTTAGAAATAAGTCATTAAGTTTTGTGTAGAAGCAAATAGATATAGGATTGTTATGTGATACCAGTTGGTTGGAACTGACTCATAGGAACTCTAATAAAAGGCTTAATGCTTTCTTTCTTACACACCTCTGTAATTGTGAATGTAAATACAATTTAAAGTAAAACATTCTTCTGCTTTTTCTTCTTAGTTTTAGCCTGTACAGAGCACTTCATAATTGAAAGAGAATCTGTAAAATGGCCACAGGAGATTTAAAAGGAAACTTACGTAAAATAGAGCAAGGACTTCGGCTTTTAAATTATCCTAGAGATGTGGATTATACTGGGTAAGTGGAGGTGTGTCTTTGATTTTAGATAATCCATTGGCTATACAGTGGTGCCTTGATTTACCCTAACCCCCTACTCATCTAAGTCATCTTAGGTTAAAAGAAGAAAAATTCTCCCCCTAGTAGCAGAGGACGGATTAAGTGCTTTTGCATTAGTTCCTATGGGAACAAATGCTTCGTCTTGCAACCGGTGCCTCTAATATAACCAAAAAACAGCCAGAATGGATTAATCGGGTTTCAATGCATTTCAGTGGGAAATGCTGATTCGACTTACAACCGTTTTGACTTACGACTATCATATGGCTGATGGTTGTAAATCAAGGCACCACTGTATAGATTTTGATTTTGTGGGAAGCATGTCTGGAATTCATACACTGAAAACTTCTGTTTACTGTTTGAGTACTTTAATCAAGAGCTAATTATAAAAACAAATTAAACATACTAATCTATTGTGATGAAATAGGTAAATGTATCCAAAATGCAAGAAGTCCACATGCTCAAAAAGCTCACCTTATGTCACTATAAGTTATATTAACTTAGAGCAACTTAAGGTGAGGTGTGAACATGTGAATAATTATGTAACCACTCTCCTAGGCTTTTATCCTGGAACACCAGGGTTTGACCACAGTAACAAATTTAAAACTGAACTCTAATAACTTGACAACCTTTAAAAAAACCAAGCAATTTTTGAAAGGCAATAATAAGCTTGGGTGGTCCTAGGCAGAGCATTTTGCCATTGATTATTGCTTGTATTTTTGTTTAGATGTTAAGGCCTTACTTAACAGCCAGGTTAGTCCCAGATTGCTACAGGGATCATGAGCAAGCAACCTTATTATTTTAAACTGTAAGCTGTCACCTGTGCAATGAAATTTTTGCTTCTGGTATATTTGACTATGACCAAATAACAGGTGACCAGCTAATCTTCATATAGATTGATATGTCCTTCCTCCTCAACACATTTCTACCAGATAATTTTTCAAATTGTGTGTGAGTGTGTGAGATTGTTTTAAAACCCATTAAAAAACCTTAAGACACTTAAGGCATTTGAAGTAGAAAGACAATGTGTACCATTGTATTAAAAAATAAATTGGCGTAAAGACAATTGCAGTGCCAGCAGGGGAAAACTTTCCCCATAAACCTTTCCGCTACTTATAAACTGGCTCCAGAAAGCAAATTTTGGGATGCTCAGGGAGTGGCAATGGAGAGATGAGGTCTCCCCACATTCTGTTGATGGAGCTACTCCTGTCAGCGGATTTTGCCTTTTGGATCTAGTCCTTCATTTTTATATGGGAAGAAGAAACAACATATACCAGGGAAACACAAATCATCCTGTAAACATAACTCTGATTGAATTTAGGAATGTTCTTCCACCAGAAGAATACCCAGAATTCTGTTGTGAATGTACAGCATTGTAAGTGTAAATTGCAGCAGCATATTGGCAATAGTTAGCAAGTTATTGTTCACATTCCTTGTTGCATGCCAAATGTATGATTTGATGTTGGACTAGAAATGCAAATGACTAGAAATGTGAATGGCAATTCATTAATTAGCCATAATTCACCATTGTGATTTGTGCAGTTATACAAACACTAGTGTAAATCCACAGTAGAGTTCTGGCCAAAGCATCTGCAGGAGCAAAATTATACATGTGTGCTTCCCCTAAAATGATAAAATCCAAGGACCTTTGAATTTATTATATAGTTTACTATCTTGCTTTTCTTACCACTACAGGTTGGCGAAAGGTGACCCATCTGTATTTTTGCCCATCATTAGCTATTGTTTCACATCCTTCTCAACGTATATTACAGAACTTCTAGTGGAATCTGATGTGGAACTAACAGCAAAGAATGACTTGCGTTTTCTTGAAGCTGTTTATAAGGTAATTGCAAATGCAAATGTGATGCTTCTACTCCTTAGTAATGTGTAGATGAAATGTGCTGTGGCAATGTGAAGACTACTACTTTGAACTGCTAGCACACTCATAGTATAGTGTTCTCTTAAGAGATTTTCCTATGGGGGGGACATCTTTATAATGGGTTTTCCTGCCCACTCACTTTGAAACACAGGATATTAAAGCCAATCTTTTTTGAGCTCCTGACTCTGTTTGGTGGTAAGGATAGCTGGAAAATTTAGTCTAAGTTCCCGTATCCATCTTGATAGTTGGGTTCCTTGTCTCCTTCATTCACTTCTTTCTATGCTTTCTTATTCCTTATTCTTTCTCTTTCTTTTACAATCTGCTTTCCTTTCACTTTTGAGACACACCTTTTCAATGTTGATGGAGATGTGTTACATTGAGAAGATGGCCTGGAGCCCTCAACGGATTTTCTGACCCCTCACAAGGCAATCAGGCTCGGAAGCAAGACTGAATTTCTGTGTTGTCCTCATCACCAGAGGGAGCTGAGAGTTTAAAAAAAAATGATTAACTTTCAGATCCTGTCTATCAAGGTGAATAGCTGGGACAGCCTTCTATATGGATGTCTTTCTCCCCCTGTATAAAAAGAACATCTCACAATAATTATGTGTCGTCAAGTTGATTCCCACATGTAGTGACACTTTTCAGAGTTTTCTAGATAGAAAACACACAGAAGTGGTTTACCATTCCCTTCTTCTGCAGACATCCTGAAACTGGGCAGCTTGCCCAAAACCACATAGGCTAACTCTTCTCCCTAGAAGCACAGTATGAAATCAAACTCCTAACCTCTGGCTCCACAGCCAGATTCCTAAACCATTGAGCTATCCAGCCAGCAATGTTACTATACCAGCTCAGAATTATGTCATGACTTTTTATAGGCTACAGCAAAGCTGACCAACCATATTAAATGGATGGAAAAAGTTAGGTACATACATCATGTGCATATGGATATAAGGATCGATACCTAACCCAAAATTTGTGATCTCTTTCAGCAGTCATCCTACTTAGGTCCACAGGGAGAGTAGTTATTTGGCATTCACCAGTTCAGTCCTGCAGCACTCTGAACAGCTGACCAGTGCAGTAATCAAAACAGTCCTTTGGCCAGGAGGAAACCTAACCCTTTTCTGCCCAGCATAACTTGGGCAAAACATTGGAGCTTGTTGTTCTCACCAGAGGGCAGCACTATTCATACTGTAGTAAGCAACAACATGAAACCCTGTATTATTTTAAGTAGTCAGTATATTCTTGTTTTCCACGTTGGTCTACATCAGGGGTGTCCACTCTGAACAGCTGACCAGTGCAGTAATCAAAACAGTCCTTTGGCCAGGAGGAAACCTAACCCTTTTCTGCCCAGCATAACTTGGGCAAAACATTGGAGCTTGTTGTTCTCACCAGAGGGCAGCACTATTCATACTGTAGTAAGCAACAACATGAAACCCTGTATTATTTTAAGTAGTCAGTATATTCTTGTTTTCCACGTTGGTCTACATGATTCACTGCAACAGAGTGCAAAATATGTGTTATACAAACATCAGATATTCTTTTCTAAATAAAATTTATGTGCACACTCTTGAAACGGCGAAACTAAAGTTATGGCACACTTAAGTGAAGACTAAAGATACAGATCTAAAAATATATTTATTTATTAGATTTTTATCCTGCCTTTCTAGACATATGTCTACTCAGGGCAGTTCACAATAAAATTATTCATAAAAACAATTAAAACAACAATTTACATTGGCAATGTTAGTATTATTCAAGATGGAAAATATTAAACAAAAGATTAAGTAGACAGTAAAAGTCAATAGGAGGGAAGGCCTACCTAAAGAGCCAAGTCTTTAACTGGCTCTTAAAAACACCCAGCGAGGGTGCCAGGCAGATCTCTGACGGCAGGCTATTCCAAAGTCAAGGGGCCACTGCTGTTCTTTCTTTCCGGGCCTCTCTCAGCGTTAGGCCCCTCAGCCGTCTTTCCTGGCTATAGCGAGTGACTTGAGTAGATCTAGGTGGGAGAAGGTGTTCTGCTAGGTATCAAGGTCCTAAACCGTTTAGGGCTTTATATGTCATCATTAACACTTTGAAATCAATGCGGAAACGAATGGGCAGCCAATGCAAGGCAGCCAGAGTGGGAGAGATATGCTGGTGTTTTCTCGTTCCACTAAGTAGTCTGGCTGCTGCATTCTGCACCATCTGAAGCTTCCGCATCAATCTCAAAGGTAGCCCCACGTAGAGCGCATTACAGTGGTCTAATCTCGAGATTACAAGCACATGGACCAGAGTGGTGAGGGCCCCACCATCAAGATAGAGACACAGCTGGGCAATCTGCCACAGATGGTAATAGGCGGAACGGACCACTGGCACCACCTGGGTTTCCATGGTAAGTGTCGGGTCCAGATGTATTCCCAAGCTGTGAACCTCACTCTTCGCGGCGAGAGTCACGCCCCCCCCAAAAGAGAGGGAGTTTCCCAAGCCACCAATGGAGGGGCCACCGACCCTCAGGACCTCCGTCTTGTCCGGGTTCAACATAAAAACAATTATGGTGCCTTCACTTCTTTTCTGAAATATGCTTGAATAAAAGGTACCCAAAACCAGGCTTCAGCTACTGATTAGAATTGGAGATTACAGAAATATAAAAAGCACTTCCCACTAATGGTCATGTTATAGTACAAAGTTAAAGAATCTTAAAAGGCTAAGTCTTTTTTTTTTTTTTTGTCCTTTCCAGGTTCTCCGTGACCAATTTCATTATAAGCCAGTTTTATCAAAACACCAGTTTCTCCAATATGGCTTTGCAGAGAGAAAAATACAGCTTGTTTGTGAGATTATCAGTTCTGTTTATAAAAGACATAAAGAATTGGACAATGTGAATAAGGTGATGGAAGCCACTGCTTCAGTTTACATTTTTGAGAAAGAAAATATTCATTTAATGCTAGAGTATTTGCCATGTAACTAAACTATTTTTAAAAAACAATTCTGGTTACTTTTCTGTGTAATATTTATGCTAAGAAAACATGCTCATCTATCATATTAGGTTTTTGTATGGCTTATTGACAAGACTATGGTTTTGTTGTTTTGGCTGCTTCCCCAGTCCAGGTAGATGGAGTGAGCAAGGGAATGTTTTAGAGCTTCAGATGGATTATTAAAGATAAAAATGAAGTAGTCTTTAGATTAGGGATAGCTAAAGTAAGATAGAAGCATGAAATGAGCTGTGATAAGTGAAGGCTGTGATGAGTAAAGAGAGATGGAATTGGAATTTAGTAAGATTATGGAAAGGTATGATTTAAATTAGGTAAATAGGCTGAACAAAATATCTAACTTGTTTTATTATGGTTAGTCCACTCCTTATTGTTTAATCTACTGCAAAAACAAAACCACTTCTTCTTTTCTACAATAGATACTACTTTATTTTCTAGCGGCAGTTGTCAACTAATAAGCATCTACACCGGCTGCTTGGTCACGGTGTAGCAAAGGGAGAGAAGAAAGAAAGAAAAGTATAATTTAAAAGGCTTCTGGTTTAGGAACCAGTGGAGGCAGTGCTATGTAAGGATAGAATTCTAAGAAAAGATTGGGTTAAGAATATTCTGCAGAGTGAAGAAGGGGCCAGGAGTATTGTGGGTGTCTGTTGAGTAGTGGCATGGGCAGGAACCACAGACAAGTGTCCTGTGTTTTACTGTAATCTGGCAATCCAGATTAGGGCTGGTACAAAAGTATACTATACGTGAACAGACTTACTCATGTAATTGAACTTTCCCTTCCCTTCATTCTCCTTGTAGTCCCAACATGTGATCTCTAGGATCCCTCAAAATTCTGAAACAGATTTGGGGAACACAAGGAGATTTGTTGGTAGATGGACACAATTAAATGCAATCTTAGTGTTTATCTTTTATTCCAAGGCTCTCAACTTCAGTAATATTCTGTATTTAGAAATGCGAAACGTGTAGTGGTCTTGAAACTGTAGATAAAGAATATTTTTCCCCTGTTTTTTTGGGTAAGGGGAGGAAAAGAAACAGAAATATGAAGGTCAGAAAGTTATTGTTGAGACATTACAAAATTTACTAATTGGATTTACTTTTATTTATGTTATTTCTTACATCTGAAGCAACATAGTCCTGAACTCTAAAATCTAGTATCATATAATTTTTGTCTGCCTAATATAAGTGCACAATTGAAAGCAACAGTACAGTATTCACTTTTTCAAAACAAAGCAATTTTGCATTCTGAGCATTGTCTTAGTTTTCAGCAGAGAAACCATCCAATTTCAGGCAAAAAAGTGAGGGGCTCTCTAGACTTAGCAAGTGCAACTTTTATTTCTTGTAACTTTAATTAGTCCTAATTTTTGAGCAATTAGTGTCAACGGTTTGTTTCTTCTGATTTTTTATTTTTGTAATAGTTATGGATGTCAATAAATTAAAGGCTTGCACGGATTGAGAAACATGCTTCAGTGTATTTCTTGATTGGTGTTAGTGCTTCCAAAATAGAGGAGTTTCCTTCACTGTTGTATATGATGAGGGAATCTGAAGTGGAAAGAAAAAGAATTCAAAGTTGTGTAGTACAAAGTCTTTGCTACTATGCTGTTGGAGGGATCTCAGAATAAACACCTAAGGATGTTACGTACTTTGCAGTATTAAAGAAATAACTTTCCAGCATCACACCCTGAGTTCTAATAATTATTTACAGAGAAAAAAGGCCATGTAATAGTATAAGAATTCATTGTCTTGAACATTTTATTAATCATTCTGAAATGAAATACTTCATTGTACTTTTTTCTCTTTTTAATTCCCCCCCCAGGGGGGCAAATCTCCTGAGGAAAATGGAAAAGCCAGTATTTCCATTTTCAGTATTTTCCCCGCAACTTCACTTTTCTCATTTTGTTAGAACATAAAAATAATTGTGTGCCATCAAGTCAATTTTGATTTATGATTATCCTTTCCAGGGTTTTCTAGGTAGAGAATATTCAGAAGTCATTTACAGTTCTCTTCTTCTGGGGGCATCCAGGGACTGTGTAGCCTGCCCAAGGTCACACTGGCCAGCTCTTTTGGGATGTCCAGTGAGGAACTGAACTCCCAATCTGTGGCTCTGCAGCCAAATATAGTGGTGCCTCACTTAGCAATCGCTCCGTTGAGTGACGAAATTGCTTAGCGACGCTGTTTTTGCGATCGCAAAAGCGATTGCTTTGCAATGTTTCCTATGGGGGAAATTCGCTTTGCGATGATCGCGGGGAAGCGATAATCGCAAAGCCCTCATTTTCATACAGCTGATCGGCGGTTCCAAAATGGCCGCCAGGGAAAAATGGCTGCCCGCTGTTTTGCCTCACTTTAGAGGCACTGAAAATGGCTGCCACAATGGAGGATTTTCGCTTAAAGTTAGTTTGGAAGCCCATAGGAACGCATTAAACACGTTTTAATGCGTTTCTATGGGCTTTTTAAAATCGCTTAGCGATGTTATCGCTTTGCAACGATTTTTGCTGTACGGATTAACATCGCTAAGCGAGGCACCACTGTACCTAACTCAGCTGTCCAGCCGCTTTTTACAGCATAGTCTATGCAAAATAAACAGTGGTTTTTCTATTAACATGGGTCGGTCCCCTGTGTGTTTGTAGGTGAAATCACAGACAAGAAAAAGATCCCATTCTGGTAAACCCCAACCAACAACAGCCTGGGCGAATCCTGTAGCTGTCTGTCCTACAGATTTTCACCAGGTAGGAATACTCAGAAGTATTTTGCCAGAGGAACTGAGAAACAGAAAATAGTAAAGTTGTAATGAGCTGATCTTTAAATGACAAGAATACATTAAAATGGTTTCTGTAGTTTTGAATTATTATGGTGCCATCAGCATGTGTTGCACTTTGGAGTACATGAAAATAAGTTCTTAACTCTTGGAGCTTACAATCCCTCATTTTATATGGTGGAAATAGTGTAAGAAATGCAAGCAGTAGAAACAGACGATATGGAATTCTTTCTTTTACGTAGGCTCAGGCTTAATTATGTAGCAATTTTCACACAAAAATATGTTCAAAAATATTTAGTGAATAAAATCAATGTTAGGATGTTGTATATCTTTTTAATAATGATGAAATCAGTGCTTGGAGAATCTGTATCTAAATATTGATTAAAATCGGTGATTGGGGAATTTTTGCTGTATTTAAAGTCGTTGCTCTGCACTTGAAACAGTTTACCAAGGGCAAATTAGAAACTATAAAACTGTTTTACAATTTGCCTGTAGACCACAGTGAAATTCATGCATCTACGAGCTGTAATATATGATTTATAGTCACATGTTGCAATGGACTCTGCTGTGTACTTTGGTGCTAATAGCTTCTTCACTGAGTACAACGTCTGGAAAAATGTTCAGTGGATGCTGTGTTTAGTTTTGCAGCCTGTTTCTACCATGTCATTTAGATCGTTTCTTTCTCATACCAGATCCCTTCAGCATTCCTTTGTGATCCAAAGATTTGTTTAAAGAGCACTTCATTCTGTGCAGTCCACAAGTGGTACAATGTGGAAAGGAGTATATACAATGAGCTATCTGTCTTCATGCATCATTTTTCTAAGGGACACTGTATATAGAGATTTTTATGACCAAAAGTTCCTAGAAGTACATGCAGTCTGTGTTAGAGTATCTCTCACTGAAACAGAGCACAAACACCAATACAACTTAAAGGATTTTAACTCATTTTCTCTCTGCTGCTACTTATATCTCTAAGCATAACTTCATCCTTTGTATTTTACACTCAGTCCCTTGTTCTCATGTTCTGTAACAGGAGTGGAGATTCTTGGCTGTTTTCTTTTGCAACTCCTATTATCTCTTACCAGTGGTCATGCTGGTGGGAGTGAAAGTCCAAAGCATCAAGAGGGCCAAAGATGTTTTACTCATCTGTAGAAATGTGATTGATGCCGTCTAGAAAGGAGTTGGGAGTCTTGATTTGTCCTTTAGGATTGAGCTAATTTGGTGCACAAAGTTAATTTCACCTTTTCAAATCATTTTAGCTTTTCAAATCATATTTTGTATTAGCCTTTCATGTACTAAGGAGGTGTATTTAAATTTTTGATTAGCTTATATGATTTTGGTAGAATACTCTTTGTCTTCACTTTTTATTAGGATTTTTTGCAGACAGAGAAACCTCATGTAGAATGTCATAGAAGTCTACTTGATGCTCGTATATCTGAAGAGATAATCCGTGATGCACTAGAGGAAGAAGAAGAAGATGATGATGTTGGCCATACCACTGATGGTGTCAACAGTGGTGCTGATAGTTTTGGTGGTGGTTGTGAACAAGTAAGCCCATCCAAAGGGTCTTTATTCATTTCCATACCATTAAAATGAAATTTAAGAAGTAGAGACTTTTTTGATGGTAACACAAGAAATTAAAAAGAAACTTGACTGTTCAGTTGAGCCAAATGTTTTAGGTTGGATGCAAAATGCAGCCTACAGGTAACATGTAATTCCACAGGTCTTCACTGTAGCCCCCAGACCCCTCCATCCACCATGAACTTCCTAAAAATTTCAGACCAGTCTCACTAAACCTATTAGGGCCTATATAAGGCTTTTTCTTTTCAAAATTCAGAGTGATCTTAAATGGCCAGTTATATTCCTTAAAGAGTCTGATTGGCCAGTTCCCCATTTGTTTTTTTATTAAAGAGGGTAAGAATTTGGAAGTGCATCTTCTGAGGTTTTGAGTTTGTCTGAATGTGGCCCCAGCTTCTCTAGAAGTTCCCCACCTCTATTTTAGATGAATGCTTGAGTTTAATTACGTTTTGTGTACATTTATTTATAGTATACATTTTGTAGAGTGGATTGAATCCATAGTTACTGTGAGAGGATTCAACTCAAGACATTCTAGCTAGAAGAAGGACACCGGTAGTTGTTTTCACCAATTTATTCTTTGCCTTATGTCATCTGAAAAGCTGGCCTACGTGGAGAAGAGGAGTGGTGCAGGGAAAGTGAAGCTGGCAAAAATTGCCACCTTCCTTTTCTGCTTCTTGTGAATAAAAAGAGCCCATATTTGTGAGCAGGTATACATAGGATTATGCAATGAAAAACATCACTTTTCCATAATAATCCAGATTTCCACAAAGAGGTGGGGTTCAAATTCATGTTAAAATCTGGTGTCCTTGCAGTTGGACATTTTATAAATGTCTGCATTTTACAAAATTGCAATTGCAATCCAATCATCCTCTGTTATCACCAACAAAGTAATTACAGTGGTGCCTCTCAAGATGATTTTAATTGTTCCGCGATAATGGCAGTCTTGTGAAAAAAATCGTCTTGCGAGGTTCCCTATGCATTGTTCTCAAAAAAAAAAAACCACGTCTTGTGAAGCATCGGTCTCAAAAAAAAAAAAAAAGTCTTGCAAAGCACAGTCATAGAAAAAAATGTCTTGCAAGGCACCATAGTGATCGCAAAAACCAATCTTGCGGGATTTTCGTCCCACGAGGCAATCATCTAGTGAGGCACCACTGTATTAGTAAATATAATGCAAAGTATAAGCAGCTAGGGCGAGAATGGTTAGATGGTCCTTTCTGCACTAATTACAGTATATGAAGGAGGTTTCACATAATTACTGGGTGTTGTACTGCACTGCTTACCTTGACCTACCGGAAAACATATGTTGTGGCCAATAGGGTTATGCTGTAAGCCGCCCAGAGACCTTCGGGTAGTGTGGGCGGCATATAAGTTAAATAAATAAATAAATAAATAAATAATACTCCAGTTTCTTTTATTGAAAGGAATCCTTTTCACATGGTTGATTCAGAAAGGAAATTAAGGAGTAAGGATTATAATACTTGTTCACACTTTAGGAGTACAAAACAATTCTGTTTTGCAGGTCTTGAACGATAATAATGAAGTGAAAAAATTGAAAAGTCAGATTGCTGAACTGGAGGAAAAAATTAATAAACTCAACGTAATAGAAGATAAATTACAGGTTTTAGAAGAAAAACTGCAAGGAAGGGTTGTTATAGATGAAAAGGACTGGAATAATCTATTGAGTCGAGTCTTGCTTCTTGAAACTCAGCTCTTACTTCAATCAAAGGTGTGGTTTACTTTATATTTTAAAGAAACAATAACAGATCATAATTTTCAAATCACTTGTTTTTATGGGAATATTTGGTTGTTTTAATGGTCTCTATGAATTCTTTCATTTGAGTCTTTTAGGTTGACGGCTTTTACAGTTGCCCCAACCCCTCTCCTATAGCGCATGGTCCAGGACTCCTTTTCCTGAACTATATTTTATCTGCAACAGTGGCCAAACCCTATTAAAAGTTGCCTGAGAGTTTTTGAAAAGTTCAGAGACCATTATTGCCATATACATTTATTGTTTTAGAGCTTAATTGTTATTTTTTTCATAATGGTGTTTTTTTTAAAAAAAAATTGTTGAGTTTTGCTCAGGGTTTATGGTCCAGGGGAGTGCTGGGTTAAAACTTTCCTTATTGAGCTCCTTCAGAAGTGTTAACTACTTAGGAGGAGGCACATAAAACCTCTTACTGTAAAATTTGCTGCAGTTTCTTAGCTTGAAAAGGAAGTAACACGTGCCAGGTTGAAATCTTTCCTGTTCAAGAAGGCTCTTTTAGCAATCATGGCAGCAGCAGTGATTAAGGCATAATGTTAATATTTAATATATATTGTGTGCATTATAAATATTCCCAAAGTCACTCTTTACACATCAACTTCCAGTGTTGGTTGGAGGCTCCAGCCTCTGTCTTCACCATTGATGACTACTACATCAAAAGTATCAACCATGACAACAACAAACTATAATATAGCACTTACTATAATTACCTTAGGGACGTGGTGGCGCTGCGGATTAAATCTCAGAAGCCTCTGTGCTGCAAGGTCAGAAGACCAGCAGTTGTAAGATCGAATCCACACAACGGAGTGAGCTCCTGTCGCTTGTCCCAGCTCCTGCCAACCTAGCAGTTCGAAAGCATGTAAATGCAAATAGATAAATAGGTACCACCTTGGTGGGAAGGTAACGGCATTCCATGTCTAGTCGCGCTGACCACGTAACCACAGAAACTGGACAAACACTGGCTCTACGGCTTGGAGATGGGGATGAGCATCACGCCCTAGAGTCAGAAATGACTGGACTAAATGTCAAGGGGAACCTTTACCTTTACCTATAATTACCTTCTCGATCGCTTTTGTCCTGGTACTGTCAACTATCCTCATACTGGTTGTTTTGTGATTGAACAACCTCTAAGGTCTTTTATTACAGAAGTGGCTCCAAAAACCCCAGTTACACCCACTCATCTGGTCACCTCAATCCTAGTTTTCATGTTAAAGGTGTAGAAAACTTAGCATACAAACATACCTCAAAAGGAGGCTGAAGGATCTGACACTGACTTGGAGGGCGAGTTGGCCCAATCTGTTTTACCAGAAACACAACCACAGTCATCATTAGCACAGCAAGGTATATTTTACCAAACTACATCCTTACTACTTACTGTAAATTCCTTATACAATGGGGCCTCGACTTACAAACTTAATCCATTCCAGAAGATGGTCGTAACTCAGAATGGTCATAAGTCGAAGCACCATTTCCCATTGAAATGCATTGAAACCCAATTAATCTGTTCTGGCTTTTTTTGTTGTTGTTGTTGTATCTAAAGGTGCCGGTTGCAAGTCAAAGTATTCATTCCCATGGGAACCAATGTATAAGTGGTTAATCCATCCACTACCACTAGGGAGAGTTTTTTCTTCTTTTCACCTAAAATGGCTTAGGTTAAAAAAGTGCAGGGAAGGAGGGAGGGAGGAAACAGTGGGGAAAAGAGGAAAGAAAGAAGGTCATCGCTGGGGTACACAGACCTCTCAGACAAAAGTTTGTGCTGTTAAGCACAGAAAGAGAGAAGATAGAGAGAAGACGGAGACTTGAGTGTAAACCACACTTTACACCATTCCAGCAAGCAGAGCCCCTTTTCTGATTTTAAAACAAAAAGACTTTGGAGTCTAAGCCACATTTTACACCATTCCAGCAAGCAGAGCCCCTTTTCTGATTTTAAAACAAAAAGATTTTGGAGTCTAACCCCCCCCAGCCCAAAACCACACTGTAAAACCCACCCAGAATAGGTAGTTTTTAAAAAGCAGAAAGCAGCACCTTACCTTACCAGGCAGTCACAAGCCTCCCTGCAAACAAGAATAGGTAGTTTTTAAAAAGCAGAAAGCAGCACCTTACCTTACCAGGCAGTCACAAGCCTCCCTGCAAACAAACACACTCTCACTCAGAAGCAGAAGCCAGGCACCAAGCCTCCTCCGATGCACACACTGACCGTTGGGGCAAAAGAGCTACAAAGAAGCTCTTTGCTGACCAGCGGTTTGCCCTCTAATTTGAATTCCCTGCCTTTTTTCCCTGCCTCTTTTGAGTGCAACTCAAAGCTCTGGCTGCAAGTTGAAGCAAAATTTTGCAGCCAGAGCTGGTCGTAACTCGAAATGGTCGTATGTTGGGATGTTTGTAAGTTGAGGCACCACTGTAAGAGAATAGTTGAAGTCCTGTTGCCTAGTTCTGCTCGCACAGTGGTCATGACAGCAGCAACAAAATACTGCTGATTAACTGAAAATTGCTACTGATGAAGGAAATTTCAGGGTGTATGTAAATTATACACAATGTGACAGTTGTCTGCAATATGAAATTGCCAAGAAAGCCTTTCGTCGTCATTTAGTCATGTCTGATTCTTCATGACCCCATGGGCCAGAGCACGCCAGGCCCTCCTATCTTCCCCTGCCTCCTGGAGTTGGGTCAAATTCATGTTGGTAGCTTTGATGACCCTGTCCAACCATCTCATCCTCTGTCATCCCCTTCTCCTCTTGCCGTCACACTTTCCTAACATCAAGGTCTTTTCAAGGGAGTCTTCTCTTCTCATGAGATGGCCAAAGTACTGGAGCCTCAGCTTCAGGATCTGTCCTTCCAGTGAACATTCAGATTTGATTTCCTTTAGAATTGATAGGTTTGTTCTCCTTGCAATTCAGGGGACTCTCAAGAGCCTCCTCCAGCACCACAATTCAAAGGCATCAATTTTTCGGTGGTCAGTTTTCTTTATGGTCCAGCTCTCACCTCCATACATCACTACAGGAAAAACCATAGCTTTGACTATTCGGACTTTTGTTGCCAAGGTGATGTCTCTGTTTTTTAAGATGCTGTCAAGCTTTGTCATCGTTTTCCTCCCAAGAAGCAGGTGTCTTTTAATTTCATGGCTGCTGTCTCCATCTGCAGTGATCCTGGAGCCCAAGAAAGTAAAATCTGTCACTGCCTCCATATCTTTCCCTTCTATTTCCCAGGAGGTGATGGGACCAGCGGTCATGATCTAAGCTTTTTTTGATGTTGAGTTTCATACCATTTTTTGCACTCTCTTTCACCCTCATTACAAGGTTCTTTAATTCCTCCTCACTTTCTGCCATCAGAGTGGTATCATCTGCATATCGGAGGTTGTTGATATTTCTTTTGGCGATCTTAATTCCGGGTTGGGAAAGCCTTTAATCAACAGCAGCTTGCTACTGCTGCTGCTGTTGGCATCCATATGGCACTACTCAACATGATTTCAGCCTACATGTCACTATTTTTGCCATAAGCATCAGCGCAAGAAAGTGTTTTATGTACAATAACTACCATTATCTACATGCTGTTAATTTGTTGTATTTTTAAAACATTCTTTCATGTGGGTTCTTGCCATATTTACTATGCAGTTTCATCAAGTTCAATTGTCTTTATTCCTTAAGTTTTCCTTATACATCTTTAGTAAATTTACCAGACTGGTAAAACCTATGAATTTGTATTAGTGTGTGCATATCCAGGATTTTTTTAATAAACTGTGGGTTCAGTTCTGAAATTTAATAGTTTGCCCTACTGTTAAAAGTATCTGTCAAAAAGGCACTGTTTTCAAACAAATAATAGGTGATTAAGGCAGACCACTATGGTTTACTGCTTAATACTCATCATATTTTGTCCAATTCGGATTCTGTTGTAATCTGTAGATGGAGGAAAGCAGGAGGGATCGTATTAGAATATGTGAGCCCATGACACTTCCCTGTTTAAAAGTTTATGTCTAGAAACGTGTTATTTTGGAACATGTTATAACTGTTGATGTAAGAATAAATTACAACATAGTCTTTTCACTAAAAGATACTGGAGGACTGAATTAAGCAAATCGCAGAACTGCTAGCTAGTTTATCTGAGAAATATATCAATGGCAATCTAATTGCAGGACGATTTGTCTACAGAATTCAATAATATGGGTGAAGAAAATAACTCTAGCAGAAATAGAACTCCAGTTTCCCCTGGTGAGTACCAGGTACATTTTTTCCTAACTTTTAATGTTATGTTGTAATATTGCCTATTAAAATGGGTTGTCCTCAACTGTAATCTAGTCCGTGTAGTTTTGTTTAGCGTATAAGGTAGTGGCTTTTTTGGGTAATATGTTGTCACTATTTGTTACTGTCACTTTACATATGTAGGTACATGTAAGCAACATTATCTGAACATTCCCTGTAATAAATGCACAGGTCTTATGAAATCTATATATTTTCTAACCCCTTAATTATTCCAGTTTTGTTACCATGTTTTCCAAAAGAGAGTATAACAGTGCGTTGGCAACATTAAATTTAAGGAATCCAGAAAATTTCATCTTCAATAGTTTATCAGTACTGGCAAGAATCTGATGTCGTAGCACTGGTTTTTTTTTGTTTTGTTTTGCCTTTTAAATATCTTTCCTACTCTAGCTAATGTTTGTCAGTAACAAACAACCTGTAGTCTTTATTCCATTGGCCCATACCTGTCTTGTTTATCATTCCAAAAACACAATTACAACTGCAATTTTCTGAATACACCTGCAAGAGAAATGTTTAAAACATGTTAGTCATGTTAGTCTGTGGAAGCAAAAACAGAGTCTTGGAGCTTGTTAAAGACCAACCAGTTTTATTTGGCATGATATATGGTGTCATGTAGACTACTTTTTGAAGTGGGCTTCAGTCCACAAAAACATGTGCCAAAATTATAGTTATTAATAGGCCACAGGACTCTTTGTGTTATATGACTTATGTCTAAAGATATAAGTCTTATATCTAAAGAAAACACAGAAAATTTCTCCAATTGTCTTTCATTTTCTCTGAACCATACTGCCTGTGTGATAAGTACTTTCTTAGTTTCAAAACATTGGAATTTATTTATCATTTGGTAAGATACAGTGTTGCCTGTTTATTCTTTGGTGCATCAGTACTATCTTCAATATATTGGATGTTTACTTGTTGTAAAACAATACTGCTATGTTATTTATGGGAATTTCAGCTTACCTCTCTCTCTCTCTCTCTCTCTCTGTTGGGCTTTAGTGGAGTGTTAAGAGTTTGTAGAAATGCTTCACAGTAATGTTATGACCTTTCTAATGTGAAAAAAGCAGAATTTCAGAAGTGCTTTGAATAAATAAAAATTTTGATGCAATTTCCATTGCCCTTAACAGATTTCTTTCTTGTTTTTGTTTGGCCTTAAAATATATATATATATTGGTTCTAACGTCTTAAAAAGAGTTTATATTGGAAACAGTGAGTAATAGCATCTGCATAAGATGTTAATGATAGCAAATATGAATCATAGCATTTTAGCTTCATCTTAGCAGGTTGTTTCCATGTTTTAATTGCAGTATAGTGGCCTAAAATAACATGTGAGGTTGGAGTTTTGTTAATTCTTTCTCTAAAATTGTTCTATCTATCTGTCTGTCTGTCTGTCTGTCTGTCTGTCTGTCTGTCTGTATCTATGCGCGCGCGCACACACACACACACCCCATAAATGGGGTTTCGTGATGGACACACACACACACACACACACCATAAATGGGGTTTCGTGATTGCTGACCTGATGTGTGATAATGCAAAAAGGCAAAAGGGATCTTTAAAATGAATATTTTTTGCAGACAAAGAAAAGGAAGATCAGCCAGAGAATCTTCACCAGTCGTCCGGATACAGTTCACAGTTATCTGTAGATCCATCTCCCAAAGCCCTGTTCACTAATGATCATGCTCTGTCAGATGTTTCAGATGTAAGTGAGTACTGGCAAATACTAGTTGATTTCCTTTGATGGAGGAATAGAATAAGTACATTCAGTGTTTTAAGACTGTTGGATAACAGCAAAATTCAGTTAATTTCTAGAAATGTCTAAGAGCTTATATAAAGCCATTCTGTTTCTACATGCATTTAAAGTTAGAAAAGCACAGGCTTTGAAGAATGCATTTAAACTGTTGCTCTTAAATTACAGGAGACAACAATACAAAGAATGGAAAGAATAAGCAAAATGTAAGTACTTGGGAGGGGAAAGGCAAGTCAAATTTATTTCTCAGCAGGGAATTGTTTTGGCTTAAAACATATATAGAAAGTACATGTGTTTTCCAAACCTCAAAGGTCTTTGCATCAGGTGTGGCATTTCCTTAAGATTGTACAGGATAATAAATCCAGCAACAGTTCTGTGTTTGTCAGATGAGTCACTATTTTTGTTTCCAAAATGCAACATTAGTGAGTTTAATGGTAATTCCTAAAAATTACAGTGGTAATTTTATGTATTTGAGATTTGATTTTTAAAGTAGTGCTTTACCAAAGAATATAGTTGATTTTTTAAAAACTTCTAATCTTGAATAAAATGTCATACACGTTCAAGCTCTGGGCACACTGTTTTGAACAAGCAGTGTGTAGTTGTGAAACAAAAATTAGTTTTGCACTCTAGCATATCTCTTTCAGTGTATCATCTAGTGTTACTACTGTTTCGATCAACATGTTTTAGTGTAGAAATGTCCTTCAGAAATATTTAAAGTGTTAATGATTATGTTGGAAAATTAAAAATGCATTTGGCATATTGGAATCTGTTTCTTCTGTAATCATATTTTAATTATGTATCTTCAAGCTTATTGAATTTTCTATATAAGTGGAAAAAGTCATATTTGAGTTTACTTTGTGTTACCATTATCCAACAAGTCAATCTGTTTTTGCCTATTTAACCTATTTCTATAATATCTTCAGGATTGAAGAAACCTCAGAGTTGTTGAAGGCCTCAAGTAACACCTCTTAAGAGTATTCTGCCCTACACTGTCAGATATCTGAAAGCAATTATGTAGGTCTCTAAACTTTAGAGCGTTTGACTCTGTGATTCCTTATCATTGAAATTATTTAAAGCTTTTCACATAGGTGAAAATAAATATTTTGTAATATCTTTGTCATTGATATACTTTTCACTACCTACATGTAATTATTTTTTGTAACTTCTGTATGTGTATAGTAAAGTTGTTCCTTTTCCTGCACTCAAGTTTTTGTATTGACATTTACTAACACTGGGCTAAGTAAGATGTTTTTTAAAGAGCAGGCTCAAGGCCTATGCTTTACATCCTGTTGGAAACACTCCAGCTGGGACTTGCCTATTACACCCAAGAGAATTGCATACATACCATCCTGCCATCTGTAAAGCTGTACCAAACCTTAATGAAAACCCAAGTACACAAATTGTAAATGTCTCTTTTTGAACTTTTTTTTTAAAAATACACCTTTTAATTCGTGGTCAAAAAGCACCTACATGTTGTAGCTTCCATTCACACTGACAAAATGGAGGTAATTTTAATTCAAGACATTAAAATTTATACATAGACTTTGACTGGGAAATGTGTTGAGCGTTTTAGTGTTGCATTACCTGACATTTTAAGACCAGCAGTGCAGATGGAAATCGTCCAGTCAGTATACACAGATACACAACACTTTTATGATTTGAAGCCATATAAAATGATTCTTTGGAGACAAAAGTTTATGTAAAAACTACCATAAAAATGATATACATTGGTGGGAAAAAGAGAGATGGGAGAGAGGAAGACACTTCAGCTATTTAGATTTGTAAATGCTGCATACTTATCTGTTACACAGAGAACTTTTTAATCAGAAGGCATTAACCTTTAATCTGTCAGTTCATTTGTAATCCTGTGACTTGAAGATAATGAGAAAGCAGCTTTTCCTTACTGGTTGTAGCTCATGACTTATTTCACAAGTTTATATTTTCTTTTTCCCCCAAAGAGCTTCACTATGCTAACTTGAATATAAAATAAAAAATAAAAAAGTTTAGTATTGCTTCTTGCAGTTTCTTGCATTAGGTTTCTATTACTTGAATTTATAACTGTTATTTTCCAAGTACAGTGGTGCCTCGCATAGCGAGGTTAATCCGTTCCAGATTAACCTTCGCTATAGCGAAACATCGCTGAACGGGACAGGGAAAGCCATTGGAACGCATTAAACATTGTTTAATGCATTCCAAAAGGCTCCTTTACTCACCATTCAGCGAGGTTTCCTATGGCCGGCAGCCATTTTTGCGCCCTCGTTAAGCGAGGGGAGGGCGCGAAAACGTTGCACGCGGCTATTACGGAGCTTCCGGCGGCCATTTTGTCCACCGAACAGCTGATCGTCAGGCTTCGTTTAGCGAAGATCGGTAAGCGAAACGCTTACCGATCTTCGTAAAGCGATTTTCACCCTATCTAAACGACGTTGAGCGATCGCATTAGCGATCCAAAAAAACGGATCGCTATGCGATTTCATCGTCATACGGTGCGCTCGGTAAGCGAGGCACCACTGTATATGAATTGCCGTGTTGGACCAAAATTATCAATATCAGTACATTAACCAATTCTCATCAGCCACCTGAATTTTTGGAATGTGAATAACTTTCCTTGGTTTACTTTTCATATTTTATTTATGTGAAATGATGTCTGATATTTTTCAGATTCTTGGGCATCTAAATCTTACAAACAGGTGTACTTTTTTCGTGAGGAAGATGACCAACTTATGTTGGTTATTGCTTAATGTTTTTCTATCTGTACTAGATGGTATAGCCCTTTCCCTTTAGTAGAGGATCAAAATGTAAAGTGATGTCTGATGTTTTTATACTTGATCCCTTTTAAAAATTCTCAATTTTGTGTTTGTCTTCATGCTTGCTCTTGTTACATTGATAGTATATGTTCTGTTTGCCCAAATCCTTCATTTTGGTTAAGAAGAAACTGCTTTAGGTGCTGAGAATTTTATACCAGAAACACAGTGAGAAGGGTGGTGGGTTTCCTTACGAGAAAATCTGCAAGCCCTAACTGAATCCTTCCAGTTTTAGCTGTATCAGATCCTCTTATAGCTTTCTTTAAAACTGCAAAGGAGTGTGGAACCACTTTATAATTTGACCAGAAAGGAGTTGAAGAAGCTGGGGCAAATCCTTTCCTTATCCACAGAGTCTCCCCCCCCTCCAACTTCCATATATCCACACATATACGCAAACACATCTATGAGGGTTAAAATATTTTGGAGATACATGTGTACCTCCCCATGGGGAGGGGGAAAGAAACTTTTAGCTGACTTGAAGCAAAAAGGTAAAGGGCAAAGAAAAAGTTACATGCTCTACTTCCACCAAGCTATGCATTAACCCTACTTTCCTTTAAAAGACCTCAAGGCTATTTTATGTAGATCTGTGCATCACATGTCCCAATAAGGTCCTTCATTGTTTTTAAGTCAGCATTTTTATGTCCAAGAAACTGACAAATGTTTCATTTCCTTTATTTTCAGACAATTTGTGCTTTTACGTAAATTCTCATAGTGCTTTGTATCCTCAGAATTTTTTTATTTCTTGACAATCTATCTAGTCAAGGTTGGTGGGAAGGGGCCAGCTCCTCGTGGGGAGACACTGCTTTTCGCTGCCAGCCTTAGCCCTCCCGGTCTGATTGGGACAAGTGGGGCTCTGTAAGCCATGCCTTTGGGAGAGGGCAATGCTCTTTTCTCCTTTTTCCCTGATCTTTCCTGTGGTTTCACTGACAGGCAGATGGAAGGCTGCATCTATCTCTGGGCAGTCACCCCAAACTCAAGGTGAAGACTCCCAGCCACACTGTGTCTGCCATGATGGAGACACTGAAGGCTCGCCAAATGCTAGAGAAATACCCTCTAGCTCCCTACTGGAGAAGGGAAAGTGTCCTTGTCCATACCTCTTTCCACTTCCATGCTACAGAGGGCTTTGTGCATAATTCCTGAGCTCCAGGAAACCCCAAAACAATTTGAGTAAAACAAGGCTTCATTGCCAAAGCGGCTGTAGGTAGGAAAAGTTCTCTCCTTAGACACAAGTCTGATGACAACTCAAAATCCACTGCAGAAATTTCAGGGCAGAAGAGAAGCATTGGAATCCAAGGGAAAGAAGCAGTCATTGGGGGAAGCATCTGCAGTAAGAGGAAAAATGCTCAATACTGTGCAGGCTAGCCTTGTAGGGTAGACTTTGTGACCCATCCCTGCCAGAGGGCATAGACGTTTATTTTGTGGACAGAAGGGAAGCGTCGGAAGTTTCAGGGACAAAAGAAAAAGGCCATGAAAGGGTGATGGTGAGTCCTACTCTGTTGCTGGACAGTCCCACAGGCCATGAATTCCCCTATCAATTAAGGATGGATGTAACATTGTCTATGAGTATGGAACCCACAGTCTAAGGATCCTGTTGCTCTTGGAGAAGTATTTATTCCCCTAGGCCAGATGTACTATCCGGGTAGCAGTTATTTATTTCATGTGGAAACTCATGTAGAGTTCCGCAGTGTGGTGTAACATTTGTGGCTGGCATAAGAGATAATTTCAGGCAGCTCTCTGCTTTCAGGCACCACAGAAAAGGCAGGATTTTGTAGTAGTCTCTTAGGCTGGTTTACTGTGTCCATGCAAATACATAGTACATCATGTGATATTCTCATCAGCCACCTGAGCTTTGGGACTGTGTGTTTGCATCATCTCTGTAGTGTCCTGCAGGTGTTAGAAGAATGCGGGTTAATCCTGCCCAAGGGACTCCTGGAGTAAAGAAGCTGTAGGGTATCCTGCTGTTAGAGAAGGGTAGTCACTGTTGAATTCTCAAAAGTTGTTTAATCCCTTTTCTATTCATAACAGCATCACTTGTCACTGAGTATGAAACCCATTTGGGACGAAGGCTTGGTGGGGTATTCTGTTGGAGAACACACAGTCTAAGGGGCTGGTTGCTCTTGGGGAAGTATTTACAGTATCCCCCAGGTCAAGATGTATCACCACGGTAGCTGTTATCTATTTCATGTGGAAACTCCTGCAGGGTTTCCCAGTGTGGTGTAAAATTTGTGGCTGACATAAGAGATAATTTCAGGCAGTTCTCTGCTTTCCCTTGGAATTTCATCCAGGCTTTCAACCACTACCGAATAGGCAGGTTTCCATACCAACCAAGATTTGGCCCATTTTCTTGCAGTCTTGTATTTTGTTATGTGCCATCAAGTTACCTCCAACATGGTGACCCTGTGAATGTGTGATCTCTAGAATGTCCTGTCCTCAGCAGCCTTGCTCAACTCTTGTAAACTCAAGCCTGGAGTCAACCCACATCATATTTGTTCTTCCTCTTTTCCTCCTGCCTTCCACCTTTCCCAGCATTATTGTGTTTTCCAAAGAATCCTGCCTCCTCATGATGTGCCCAAAGTATGACAGCATCAGTTTTGTTATTCTTGCCTCTAGAGATAACTCAGGCTTGATTTGTTGCAGGACGTACTTGTTTGTCTTTCTGGTAGTCCAAGATATCTGCAAACTCTCCTCAAAAGAATCATTTTTTTCCCTGTCTGTCTTCTTCACTGTCCAGCTTTCACACCTGTATATAGTGACTGGGAATACAATAGTGTGGATGATCTTAGCCTTGATATTCAGTGGCACATCCTTACATTTAAAGATATTTTCTAATTTCTCTGTTGCTGCCCTTCTCAGTCTCAGTTTTCCGTTTCCTTGTCTACACTCTCCATTTACATTGATGATTGAGCCAAGATATGCAAAAGCTTTAACAATTACAGTCTTTTCATTGTCAACATTAAAGGTGTGTGATTCTTCTGTAGTCATGATACCATTCATGGAATCCATGATTCCATGTTTTCTGCTACCCTCTTGTCAAGGTAAGAATATTTTGCTTTTTAATTGTAATTATTTTAGATATATAGTGGCTGAAATCCTGTTGGTATAGCTATACATGCAGAAGGCTGATGATGTCATCAGCAGTATTTTCAGAAGTTAAACACTTCCTGCTTTTAACCACAACTCTCATCATGTGCAAGTTGTGGGACAGAAAAAGCAAGTCCAATTATCAGAAATCGCCACCACCAGTAATATTATATGAACAAATTAAACCATAGAATGTCAAAATAAGCCACTGCATCTAAATACATGAACTTATCTTATGGTCATATAAGCCATCCTGAGAATCTTTCAACTGAATATTGTGCAAGAAAAATAACATGTTCAAGTGAGGGAGGCTGTTTAACATTCCCTTCTAGCTGCATCACCACATAATACATTGAATTCTAATCTGTAATATCTCTTGATTTTCAGGGTTGGGGAGAAGATTAGGGGTGTCTTGAGTTGAGGAAAAGAGGGTGTGGAAAAGCATGCCACCTTTTGAATCTTGGATAGATCTGTAACTTCATATTTCTGGAAGGAAAACATTTCACAGAAGACTTGTGAAATGTAGAACTATGGCACCACCTTGTGGTACATGAAAATTTCCTTGAATTTTATTGTAACTCCTGAGTGAGTTAAAATGACAAACCACATACAATTATATTGATATTGGCTACCAAATTAAATGCAATAAATTCTTCCTCTTTATTTCCCTATTGGATTCCATGAACTGTACAGAAACTTGATTTTTAAAATCTATCTGTTATATTGTGAACTGTGCTCCATTAAAAGAGCATGTTGCCAGTAACAAACAGGCAGTTGGGCTAGCCAGAATGATTACACTCCTGTGTTTAGAGGACTTTTGAATGGGTTAAAATGAAAACCCCAGTAGCATTTTTAAATAATTTAAATCTTCTTAACAACAAATTAATGATTATGGCAAACTGTGAGTCCTCCCCCCCCCCCGAAAAAAAAATTATAAATGAAAGTCTGAATGTGTATCCTTTGGTTACCTTACAGTAGGGACTGAAACTGGTTTCCAATCTTGGGAGCACTGGCAGTGCTGGGTGGGGCTTCTGGGAGTTGAGGTCCGGTGATACCTTGGAGCATG